CCCCCACTCTTCGCCCTGAGCCCGGAACGGAACCCAGGAGTCCTGGCCTCTGCAGCACACCCCTCCCTGGGAAGAAGGTGACGCAGCCCCGGCAGGGCTCAGCCCTCCCATGGGAGCTTCTTCCTTCCAGCTGGGAGAGGGACAGACCCTCCTGTGCCACCCGGGCTGAGGGCCCGGTTCAGCCAGGGGCCCTTCGAGGGGACAGGGCATGGGCCACGTGCTGGAACCCCCCAGTGGGGCAGCGAGTGCAGCTCGGGCACACGGAGTGGAGAGCGGGTCCCCTTCCCCACATGCTTACCCGGCTCCTTGATCTTCACTGGGATAATCTCTGGGGGGGCGACTGGAACTGGGGAGGGAAACACACAGCGGTGAGTCCCCATGGCTCCCTGGCCCCCCCCCCCCCCCCCCCGCCACCCCAAGCACCTGCCTCCCGGCGCAGGGACCTACCGACTGGCTTGACCACGTAGGGCTGGCAGCAGCTGCAGTCGAAGCCCTCGTCTGCTGCCTGTTCCACCTCCTCCTCCGTGAAGAGATTGCTGCACACAGCATGGAGCCACCTGGGGGGACAGGGATGGGTAAGGGACGGGGCCCGGACCCTCCCCGTGGGGACAGGCGCTTGGCTCAGGAATTCCCTTCGATGCAGGAAGTAGGATCCGCTGGACTGGGCCAGGGCGTCAGAGCTCTGCTGCTCCCGGAGGCACCCCCACATTAACCCCGAGCGCCCCAGGGAACCCTCCCAGCGCCCTGTGCTTGGGACGTCACTCTGTCAGGGGGGCCCAGCCCCAAACAGGGAGCTCTTCAGGGACTAGCAACTCTGGTGTCTCGGCTGGACCCCCCTACAGCAGGGTCAGGGCCCCAAGCACAGCCCCATGTGTCCCCCGAGGCAGAACCCTGCTCCGGATCTTACACACCTTTCTGACCCTAACATTTCCAGAGACCTTTCCAAAAAAAAACAAATGACCCACCCAAGAGTCTGCAGAGAGCCTGAAACAATAGCTCCTGGAGGCATGAACTGACCTGACTCCTTACAAAGGCTGTTGACTCTGAAACCTAATGGTGCCACGGGTGGCCTATGGAGCAGTGAAGGTGTGTGCCAGTGCGGATTAGATCGAACCCAACAGCCCAAGGAGCAGGGATTAGGAGGGCTGTTGTTCATTTGCATATTTCACTGGGAGCTGTCCCAGAATTCCCAGAGGCTGCTCCCAGATCCAGGGACCAGCCAGTGTTTAGGCCCAGGCTGCATGAAGTAAGGGGGCTCGGCGCGGGCTCTGGGGGGAGAACACCGGCAGGGGGGCCAGACCCCCTGGAAGATGCCATGGCAGCCGTGTGCAGCCCCATGGCTAGCTCCCTCCCACACACACACACACCCCAGGCAGAAAGGGAGCTGGGCCTCACCGGTCGCAGTGCCTGCACTGGATGAGCAGGTCGTCCTCCACGTACTTCACCCGGCAGACGGGGCAGGTGACAAGGCTGGCGCAGGGGGCGCAGTGCGTGTAGTTGTTCTGCCACTCACAGTGGAATCCAGGGGAGCCCGCCCCGCACTGCACGCAGCACACGCACCTAACAGAGAGACAGGTCAGCGGCAGCACCACTTCATCCCCTCCATGCCCCCTGGCCCATGCCTCCGACAGCCCCCCACGCACTGCACCCCCGCCGGCCTGCCCACCCCCTCCCCGAGAGCCCCCCATGC